AGCATTTTGGGGTCTGCTTGAAAGCACTAATGATGGCCATGTTTTCTTTCTCTGCAGCCTTCAAAACCTTAGACAAGTGGCAAAAGACTCATAAAAGTTTCTAGGAACCAGGCATGGTGGCCACAGGCCTTTAATCCCAACACTCGGGAGGCAGAGGCAGGGAGACCTCTGTGAGTTCTGGGCCAGCCTGGTCTATATAGCAAGTTCCAGGAGAGCTAGGGCTGAATAGAAAGACCCTGTCTCAAAAGAAAAAAAGACTGGCTCTAGGCCTTTTGAGAGACTTTGGATGCCAGGCTCCTTCCCTGTAAACCAGAGGAGAGCTCACCTGAAAGCTGGGCTGATTCACAGGTGAAAATAATCTGGAATGGCCTGCACTACAAGCAACTAGCCAGTCATGTCTATTGGATTTTACCGAATCTAAGAAACAATCCATTTTTAAGAAGTACCACTATTTTCTATACAATTAAGAAGAATGAAACCTTGCTAATTAAACTGTGACCTGCCATCTATTGCATGATTTATCCTGATTTTTAACGATGTTTAAATTTTTTGTTTGTTTGTTTGTTTTTTGAGACAGGGTTTCTCTGTGGCTTTGGAGGCTGTCCTGGAACTAGCTCTTGTAGACCAGGCTGGTCTCGAACTCACAGAGATCCACCTCTCTCTGCCTCCCGAGTGCTGGGATTAAAGGCGTGCTCCACCAAAGATGTTTAAATTTGAAGGAATGTGTATAAGCAGTAGATGAAATGCAGTAATTTCTAAAATATCAGTAGTCACAACCCCCTCACACTGCCACACTGTGATTATCTGTCAAACAAATGTAGACAAGGATCCTCCTGTCCTAAATGGGGAAAACAAGATCCCACTGGGAACCCCTTGTGTCTGTATAAAACTCAATTCTTTACCAGAATCTTAATTTTCCTTTGATGTTATCTAAAGACCAAATTAGACCGTCAGCTGTTGTTTTAAGCATGGCTGAAAATCATTTATCTTGGCTAATGGGAAGTGAGACGTTCAGAGCAAGTGAAGCATGGGAAAGGTCTGTACTTTCTCTTCCATGATCCTGGAATCCTGCCACCAACATCAAAGGATCTTGATCTGGACTTCTGGGGACAAAATGCATGTGACCCAGGCATTCTGACAGTCAGTCCAGCCTTTCAGGCCCAAGGCATGTAAATGAGGTTCACTTTGATGTCCCATTTTCCATCAGAAAAGCCAGGTACCTGAAGATGCCCCTAGATGGGCCAAACTAGATGCCCAACCAACCTACGGAACTTTGAGCTAAATAAATGGTTGGTTATTTTGTTGTTTTGTTTTTAAATCCTCAAGGTTTGGGGTAGTTTGCTATGGTCAAAGCTCACTCAAACCTAGATATGTACTGGAAGTCATGTACCATCACAGTACAGTCTAAGATGTGAGGCATGCAGATGGATATTGTTTGTAAGCTGGTCAGTCTGTAGGATTCTGCCACAGAAGCCCGAATGGACTAAGGCAGAAAGAGATGACAGAAGAAAGATCTGGTTCATTTTCCAGCAAAAATTGCAATATAGAAAAGTAAGGAATTTCTGGGTTGTAAAACAAAAGCTTTCTCATTTATAACCTCTTATAGCAATAAAAGACTCTCAAAGTAACAAACAAGTTCAGGGTAAATATAATAATAATAATAATAATAATAATAATAATAATAATAATAAATTATTTGTCATAATAATAAAGGCCACGTTGTTAGAACCTCCTGGGCTTTAGAAAGACAGCAGCCAGGGCTGGTGAGATGACTCAGCAGGTCAAGGCCAAGGCTGGTGACCTCAGTTCCATCTATGAGAACCACAGTTGTTGAGTCATCTTCTGACCTCCACATGTGGCTTGTGCTTATACAGATACACAAATCCATAAGCATTTAGAAAGTCACCAGTTAGCAAGGAAACAGTGCTGCCTGCCCCACCCACCCATGAGGTGACTCTTAGCTTCTTTGGGTATCTCTGGAACCTTTTTGCAATGAAAAGGAAGACTGTGAAACCCTTGAGGAGAAACTCTGGTGTATTGTGTTGGCAAGGGGTAGGTGTTCAGTTTGGTGCAGAAAGGGGATGGGACCACAGAGAGAAGCTAGACTAGAGGAAGGCCCGGGGTTACACTCTACAGTCTCCTACTCCCCCCTGTCTAAAGATTATTGTTGGAGGAAGATTCCAACAAAACCAGCCCAGTATGGGGTTGGAATGACAAAATATTATAGATAGAGAGACATACAGAAGAGACATGCAGGAGATGGAGGCTGATCTACTCCAAGGAATCTCTCCTTCCATTTCCCATCTCCCTATTCCCTAACACTGAAGTTTAGCTAATAAAGAGCCCAAGGGAGACAGCTATTGATGAAGGAATGAACTCAGTCAGGGGCATTGTGGTGGCTAACTTTGTGTGCTAACTCAGTTATGTTACAGCATTCAAATGCTTATCCAGATGTGGCTGGGACCTTACCTTGTAATAGTCATTTAATCCAAAATCAATAACCTTAAGAGAAATCAGCTTAGACAAGCTAGGATGGAGGGACTGAGTCAGTGGAGATGCTTGAAGAACAGAACTGATGCTCCCCTGGTGAAGGTGTTCTTGCCTAGAGATTTGGAACTATCATGCTGACAGTCTGCCCAGGTTAGCACCTGGCAAGGTAAGCCCCAGTCACACGCAACAATGCCATTCTTAATAATGTTTAACCTACTTGTTTATCTAGTTGAACCCCAACTAAAAGAGATTGAGAGATGCTTCCTGATACAGAGTCACCTTCTGGACATAATGTGGTTGACAAACTGGGATTAGATGAACCCGGTTGAGGATAACCCTCTCTTAGACAAGACTTCCTACTCTGTTGGGTGGGCAGTCTCAACAACCCCATAAGATGCGGTTAGGAAGGCACAAGTAAGAGCTGGGTATTAGCATACGAACAGCCACAGGAGATGAGCTCTCAGGGCAAAATGTGAACTCTGGGAGGGTGAAAAAACAGACACCTGAGAATCAGAACTGACATGGATAAGAAATACACATTTAACAAGGCTCTTAGAGGAAGCAGAATGAGTGAACCGGAGAAAAGACATAGAACAAACATTCCAGAGGGAACTACATAGAAGGAGACTTAGGCCATAAAATTATGAGGTGAGCCATGTGAGGTGCAGGAGCAGTGCTGTGAATGAGACAGACATGGGACACCAAACTTTGGCAGACAAAATCAGGAGATCTAGGAAAGACAATAGGGGCTAAATGTTCCCTGATTAGATTCTACTCCCAAGGGAAGGGTTAGCCTTTTCATCTCTATCCTTTGCAGTGATCTCCATAAGCCCAACAATGCTGAGGGAGCCAGGCAATCAAAACTGGACATGGCTTGTCCCCCATCCAGTTAAGGCCAGAGGAGGAGCAGAAGCCCTTCCCAGGCACCGGTGCTGAACTTGATGGTAGGGATGGACCCAGACTCCTAGAGGTATTTCTATTAAGTTCTAACTCCTAATGTAGACAGGAACTGGAGCTTCTAACCCATGCTTCTTAATGATTTAAACATTATTTTATATTATGTGTAGTATGTGGGGATGGGGTGGGATGGACATACATGCGCATCAGAGCAGCTGTCTGAGGGGGGCAGAGGTGGCTGATCCCCTTGAGTTGGAGTTACAGGAAGTTGTGAGCCACCTGTTATAGATGCTGGGAACTGACCTCAGGTCCTCTGGAAGAACAGAATGTGCTAGTAAGCACTGAACCAGCTCCCCAGCCTCTTACCTCATGCTAAGAAGAACCCACACCCCTGAGGTCATGTGTGGGCTCCTGGAGTTAGAGATCCAGTCCTGCAGGATGTTGTATTGCCTTAGAATGGGGAATTGCTGAGCCCTTCCTGCTCCCCTGCATCATGACCCAGTAAATGCAACTCCAGCAGGACTGCTCTGTGGGACATGCTCAGTTCATTTTGTTTGCTTGAGCAGACTTGTGGTTACACAATGCACCAGAAAATATCGTTATGTCCTCAGCCTTGTTTAGAGGAACAGAAATGGCATGGGAAATGGGTTTATTGAGGAGGACCTTGTCCTTGCATGCATCCTGGGGGCTCCATGTTCATGGGACTCTCTGGAGGCTACAGGGATGGCTCTGCTAATCAGAATAGCCACTGGAATGCACAAATGGAAAGCACTCTTCAGCAAGACAATGCAAAGGACCATTTATTTTGGACACAAAGGCACTAGGAAGCATTATAGGTTTTCATCTTCTAAGGATGCAATTCTAGGTTGGGGATAGCAGACGTGTACTCCATGGATTCAGAAGAGATCTTCTGTGGCTGGTCATCAGTCATCTTGAGAAGTATCGAATCAACCTTTGACAGCCGTCTACAGTACAAATTACATCATGATTTTTATCTGTTTAGAAAGGTCCATAGGTTCTGCCCTCACTCTATGCTGTGCAGCTCATTGCTGTTTGGATGTGGTCTTGTTGTAGTGTCCCTCACCCCCCATCCCCAGACACCACAGCTATAGGGTGACCAATTCCCCATCTCCCAAGGACAGCTGGCACATCTCCCACCATCTGAACTTGCCTTCCTTGTATGGTGGGCTTTGTATATGCTAACTCAGGCTTTCTCCTACTTGTTGATCTCCTCTCTGACATCTTTCCCACCCCACCCCTGTCCCCCAGGCAAAACCAATCACCTTTAACAGAACTTAGTAGACACTGGCTACAGAGCTCATGCTGACACACAGACCTGTTTCTGTACTCTAGTTATATTTACCTTTTAATCTCCATTCTTGCATTTGCCTGCCTGGTGTGTAAGGTATTCAAATAAATGAGTGTTCCCACTCACATCACTACCTCTCTCCCTCCCTGGAAGACCTGCTGTCCTGGGAGAGTTAGCCCTCTTATGCTAGCGAGGGGAATGAAGAGTGAGATATCCCAGTTCATAACCATGTGGACCTAAGTCACGGTGACTCGTGTCACTTTAGTCACTGTGGGCCTGTCTTTGCAGAAGAGTGGGCTACAGATCATGTATCCCAGCGTCCTGCTGCCATTTCGTCCAGCTCCTTTCTCATGGACACATCCCGACCCTGTGTGCAGTCAAGGGACAGAGCAACATGAGACTGTGCCAGCAAAGTCCCTTGGAAACTCAATACTCCTGTGGGCATACCTTGGTTGCATGTGGAGGTTTCAATGGTAATGCCCCCCTCCCCCAATGGGCTTATACATTTCAGTACCAGGTCCCCTGTTGGAGCTTTTGAGGGAGGATTAGAAGTTGTGACCTTGTTAGAGGAGATATACCACTGGAGACAGGTTTGGAGGTTTCAAAGTCCCACACTACTCCCACTTAGCTTGCTCCCTGCTTTATGATGGTGTGTCAGGATATAAGCTCTCAGCTACTGCTGCAGCGCCATGCCTGTTTGTCGCCACGTTCCCCACCATGATGGTCATGGACTCACTGTCTGAAACTGTAGACTCCAATAAACTCTTTCTTCTCTAAGTTGCCTTTGTCATGGTGTCACAACAATAGGAAAGTAAGACTCGGGGCTATACTCACTTCAAAGACAGGAGATTTGCAGACATGACCACACCCATTGCTGCAGCACTTCATTTCCCCAGGGCATGATCCATCTCCCGAGCATCTCTCAACACAAGTTCCAAAAGTATCTGGAGGTAGCTTGGGACAAGCTCCAGATTTCTGTAACCCTGAAATACATACACAATGGTGTTTATGGATCCTCACCCAGTCAGAAAGACGAGGTTGAGAATTGATGCTAGAGGTCTGAAAGCCTGGTCACCTGCAGGAAACTAGATTATCCCATATTCTCCTTTGCACCCTGGGGCTCTTCCCTCAGCATCACCAGCTCCAGTCCTTCTCTTAGGCATGAGAGTTATCTGGCCATGGGAGAGAGTTCTCCCTCCCCAAAGCAGTCTCAGTGGAAAGAACCTTCCACCATCATAGCCTCTCCTATGCATCTGAGAATATGCTATGAAACATCTAATGATGGCCAGACCTTTCTCCTCCCGCCATACCCCAGGTTCATCTCTGAGCAACTGCTCCCATGAGTCCTACATCCAAGGCACATCTCCAAAGTAGATCTGATCTCTGCTCTAGCTTCTGTGAGAAGCACCTCTCTCTCTCTCTCTCTCTCTCTCTCTCTCTCTCTCTAATCAAAATAATTTTTATTAGATCAAATTAGGGTCAAGCTTGCTTTGCATGTCAATCTTCCTCCCTCTCTCTCCTCTCCCCCTCAGTCCCCCACCAGCCTCCCATCCCATCCTCCCTCTGCTCCCCAGGGAGGGTATGGCCCTCCATGGGGGGCTCTCCAAATTCCACCACATCATCCTGGGCTGGGCTGGGCCATCCCCCATATTTCCAGGCCGAGAGAGCATCCCTTCACATGGAGATGGGCCCTAAAAGTCCCTTAGGAAAGCAGATCAAAGGGGTTAGGACCAGGCTGGTGAAACCCAAAGAAACAGCTGGCCTGAACAAGGGGGAGCACACAGACCCCAGACTGTTATCTGGGAAGCCAGCAAGGGACTGATCCAGACCCCTGAATGTGGATGTCAATGAGGAGGCCTCGGAACTCTATGGAGCCCCTGGTAGCAGATCAGTATTTTTCCTTGGTGTAAAAAGGGAGTCTCTCTCTCTCTTAAGAAAGGTAAATGCAGAGTGATCACTCTTATAGGCCAAAAAGAAGTGAGTTTGATCTAAGCTGTGGGCACATGACTTTTCCGTGTGGCAGCTCAGCCTCAGGCCCTAGTGGGCTATGATCCGTCTCTGATTTCACCTTGTATCCCCTTAACACACTTACCTTTGGTAGAAGATAGAGCACAGGGAATGTCCATCACTATGGTGATCAAAGCCACCAGAACCAAGACTGTGGGTGTCTTCATGTTGGATATGGCTGGGATGAACTCACAAATCAATTTATACCCTCAGTAATACTAGCAGCCTGTGTGTGACAGGACACAGTCAATAGGGAAGTATAAAAAAAAGAGCTTTCCGGAAAGTCCCTGCAGATAACCTAGTAAGCTTCTTCTATTTCATAACTGGCTTCTCTCTAAATACAATAGAGCATTATTTCTTGGTAGGTAGGATAGGTGATCAGGAAAAGTCAAGTATACATTCTAGCACCGTGTTCCTCCTTACAGCTTGGCCCTTTGTGAATGGTGAACAAAACAATAATTGTTTCTGTTTAGCTCAGAAGTTCAGGGTGAGAGATGAAGCCCAGACAGCCACTGGGGAGTGTCAGGGACATCTGGGGCTTCCTGGACATCTAGTTGTGTAAGGACGAAGCATGCTTCTGGGAGAGATGGTCGTTGTGTTTTTTGTAGCTCTCTGGATGAGATCCCTACACAGATGTGGATTCTGGGCCCCTCTTACCTGAAGAAGTAGGCAATAAAGTCTCTCCTGGAAGAGATGGATACTCAAAGATTTCAAAGTGGCTAGAGCCAGTTGAGAGTGAGTAGGCAGGATCCACTGTGATGGTTGGTCTTCTTGGACCAATGTTTTTCTGCTAGACAGGTCTTTAGAAAGAAGGCTGCACAGGTGAGTAGAGGAAGGATGGGAAGCATAGGAGAACAAGCACTGTCCCTAGTCTCCAGTAGAGAGCCTTCCTCTTTTGCTGTCCTAATTATGGACTATCAGAGAAGGAGTTGGAGTGGTAAAACACCAACAGCTGTGGGATGCCCCACAAATGGTGTGACTGGCTTATGAGTTATCTTATCTATGTAGGGTTACTGCTCAGAGATTGAGGGGATTTGTTTGGTCACATGCTTTACTCTGTGTGCTTCCAGTCCTTCCTTCAGATTGAGGCGACAAGCCTGGGTGCCTGTAAGTTTCCCCCCCTCTGTTGTAAGTATGCTGTGTCAGAAACATAGTCAAATTCATTTATGTTTGTTTATAATGTCATAATTAATGGAAAAATCATAAATTCACAAAATACCACAGTGGCTTTTTTTTCTTGTTTGATTCTGTTTGTTTGTTTGTTTGTTTGCGTGAACAGTATCTGTGTGGCCCTGCTGTCCTGGATGGAACTTGCTCTGTAGACCATGTTGGCCTTGAGCTCAGAGATTCTCCAGGCTCTGAATCCTGAGTGCTGGAATTGAAAACATGAGCCAGCACCACTTGGCTTAAGACAGAGCAGTTTTAAGGGAAGCTTCTGGTTATAAGGTTTGTTTTTATTGGTAACATGGCCAAGGCTAATACCAAATATTTTATTCCAACCTTAATTACTAATGTTAACTCTTAAATCACTTGTTACAAAAAGCACAGTAAATAAAACTCTCTCTATATAAAAAAATTGCCTATATATATATGTGTAACAGAAATAGCTGTAAGGCCACAGCAGAGATCAATAGGTTTTAGAAGTCCTGAGGAGCAGAGACAGAGGAATCCAAGTAGAATCTAGACTGATAAAATCCAAAGTGGAGGTGAGAATCTGGAGAAACTATGGTGACTGCAGGTCAGGCCACTTCAGGTCAGCGGCTTGAAAGCAAAGCTGTGGAGTTGAGTTTAGCTGCAGAAGCAAAGAGCAGGACCAGACCTGGATGAAGGAATTGAATGACAGATGGGATGACAGATACAGGTAAATGAGCAAGAAGATAGACAGATGAGGGTACTACATAGAAGGAGACATAGGACATGAAGTTGTTACATAAGTCATGTGAGGTCCAGGAGCAGTGCTGTGATAGAGACAGACACAGGACACCAAATTTAGCAGACAAGGTCAGGGGATCTAGGAAACAGAGGCTAAATGTTTCCTGATTAGATTCTACTCCCAAAAGTAAGGACTAACCTTTACAGTGATCCTCCATAAACCCAAAGAGCTTAGGGAACCAGGCAATCCAACTGTAACATGACTTGTCCCCCATCCAGGTAAGCCTGGGGAGGAGCAGAAGCCCTTCCTAGACACCAGTGCTGAGCTTAATGGATAGGGATGGACCCAGACTCCTAGAGGTATTTCAATTAAGTTCTAACTCCTAATGTAGACAGGAACTGGAGCTTCTAACCCATGCTTCTTAATGATTTAAAAATTATTTTATATTATGTGTAGTATGTGGGGATGGGGTGGGATGGACATACATGCGCATCAGAGCAGCTGTCTGAGGGGGGCAGAGGTGGCTGATCCCCTTGAGTTGGAGTTACAGGAAGTTGTGAGCCACCTGTTATGGATGCTGGGAACTGACCTCAGGCCGTCTAGAAGAGTAGAATGTGCTATTGACCACTGAACCAGCTCCCCAGCCTCTTACCTCATGCTAAGAAAAACCCACACCCAAGAGGTCATGTGTGGGCTCCTGGAGTTAGAGATCCAGTCCTGCAGGATGTTGTATTGCCTTAGAATGGGGAATTCCCTGACCCTTCCTGCTCTTCTTGCATCATGACCGAGTAAATGCAGCTCCAGAAGGCCTGCTCTGTGGCATGTGCTCAGTTCATTTTGTTTGCTTGAGCAGACCTGTGTTCACAGAATGCACCAGAAAATATTCTTGTGTCCTCAGTGTTGTTCAGAGGAACAGACATGGCATGGAAAGAGGGATTCTTTAGGAATAACTTGGAACTTCTCCTGGTCTCTAGGCATCCTGGAGCCTCAGTGTTCATGGGACTCTGGAGGGTACAGGGATAACTCTGCTAATCAGAATAGCCAATAGGGTGCACAAACGGGAAAAAACTCTTCAGCAAGAGAATGCTAAGGATCATTTATTTTGGACACAAAGGCACCAGGAAGTAGTCACCACATTATAGGTTTTCATCTTCTAAGGATGCAATTCTAGGGAGTAGAAGGCTGGGCTCCATGGATTCAGAAGAAATCTTCTGTGGCTGATCACCAGTCATCCTGATAAGTATGGAATCCTTCTTCCAAAGGGCTGACGGCCTTCTACAATACAAATTACATCATGATTTTCATCTGTTTAGAAAGGCCCATAGGTTCTGCCCCACTCTATGCTGTACAGTTCATTGCTGTTTGGAAGTAGCCTTGTTGTAGTGCCCCCCACTCCCATCCCCAGACACCACAATCGAGGGCAACATTTTCTCCATCTCCCAAGGGCAGCTGGCACACCCCCACCATCTGAGCCTGCCTTCATTGTCGGGTGGGCCTTGTGTATCGTAACTTAAGCTGTCTCCAACTTGATCTACAATCTTGTATCTTTCCCACCTCCTCCCAGGCAAAGCTAGCCACCATTATTAGAACTCATGGTGACACACAGGCCTGTTCTCTAATTATATTTACCTTTTACTCTCATTGCAGCACAGGCCTGCCTGATGTAAAGTATTCAAATGAACGAATGTTCCCCTTTACTTCATTATCTTTCTCCCTCCCTGGATCACCTGCCCTCCTGGGAGAGTCAGACCTCTTAGGCTGGGAAGGCAAAGAGTAAGCTATCATAGTTATGGCCATTTGGACCTAATTCAAGGTGACATGTGCCACTTTAGTCACTGTGGGATTGTCTTTGCCAAGGAAAGGGCTACAGATCATGTAACCCAGTGTCTGGCGGCCGTTACTTCCAGCTCCTTTCTTGTGGACACATCCAGACTCTTGTGTGTAGTCAGTGGACAGAGCAACATGAGACTGTGCCTGGAAAGTCCCTTGGAAACTCAATACTCCTGTGACATGCATTGGTTGCATGTGGTGGTTTGAATAGCAATGCCACCTATGAGCATATACATTTGAGTACTTGGTTCTCAGTTGCTGGAGCATTCTGGGGAGGATTAGAAGATATGGCCCTGTTGGAGATACATAACTGGGGACAGGCTTGGAAGTTTCAAAGTCCCACACTATTCCCACTTAGCTTGTTCTCTGCTTCACGATTGTGTCAAGTTGTAAGCTTTTCAGCTACTGCTGCAGGGCCATGCCTGTCTGCCTGCATCCATGTTCCCCACCATGATGGTCATGGACTCACTATCTGAAACTGTAGACTCCAATAAACTCTTCCCTCTATAAGTGCTTTGATCATGGTGTAACAACAATAGGAAAGTAAGACATAGGGTTATACTGACTTAGAAGACAGGAGGTTTGCAGACATGACCACACCCATTGCTGCAGCACTTCATTTTCCCAGGGCATGATCCATCTCCGGAGCATTTCTCATCACAAGTTCCAACAGTATTTGGGGGCAGCTTGGGACAAGCTCCAGGTTTCTGTCCTTCTGAAATACACAATGGTGTTAAAGGAGGCTGAACCAGTCAGAAAGTCAAGGTTGAGAATTGATGCTAGAGGTCTGAAAGCCTGGTCACCCAAAGGAAACTAGATTATTCCATATTCTCCTTTGTACTCCAGGGCTCTTCCCTCAGCTCCACCAGTTCCAATTTCTCTATTAGGCCTGAATGTTCAGTCTGGCGATTGGGAGAATGTGCTCCCACCCCAAAGCCTATGCAGTCTCCTTCCACTGTCACAACCCCTTCCTTATATCTGAGAAAACGCTATAAAACTGGAATGACAGCCAGACCTCTCTCTTCCCAACAGGTTCATCTCTGAGCAACTGCTCCCCTGAGTTGCTATTCAGGGCATATCTCCAAAGCAGATGAGCTGTCATGATCTCTACCCCAGCCCCTGGGAGATGGAACAGTCTCTCCCTCTCTCTCTCTCTCTCTCTCTCTCTCTCTCTCTCTCTCTCTCAAGCTAATAAATGCAGAGTGATCACTCTTATAGGCCAAAAGAAATGAGTTTGATCTAAGCAGTGGGTTCACAGCTTTGCTCTGTGGCAGCTGAGTTTCAGTCTCCAGTAGCCTTGTCCCTTTCTGCTGTCAGACTGTATCCCCTAGGCATTCTTACTTCCACGAGAGGACAGAGCACAGGATGTATCCATCACATTGGCGATCAAAGCCACCAAAACCAAGACTGTGGCTGTCTTCATGTTGGCTCTGACAGGGCTGAACGCACCAATCCTTTTATACCCTCAGTAACACTAGCAGCCTGGGTGTGACAGCAAGCAGTCAATGGGGAAGTAGAGTTAAAAGAGTTTTCCAAAAACTGCCTGCCAATAGCATGACTCCTTCTATTTCACAAGTTGCTTATCTCTAATTACAATTGGGGTTTGTTTTTGATAGGTAGTATAGATAACCAGAAAAAAAAATCAAGTGTGATTTAGTACCTATGTGCTCCTCCTTAATTCACTGCTTGGCCCTTTTTTGAATGGTCAGCAAAACAGTAATTGTTTCTGTGTAGTCAGCAGCTCAGAGTGAGAGCTAGAGCCCAGACAGACACTGGGGAGTGTCAGGGACATCTGGGGCTTCCTGGACATCTGGTTGGGTAAGGATGCAGCAAGCTTCTGGGAGAGATGGTGAGGTCCCTACACAGGTGTGGATTCTGGGCCCCTCTTACCTGAAGAAGTAGGCAATGAAGTCTCTCCTGGAAAAGATGGATACTCAAAGATTTCAAAGTGGCTAGAGCCAGTTGAGAGTGAGTAGGCAGGCTCCATTGTGACCTCTGGTCTTCTTGGGCCAATGTTTTCCTGCACCACAGCTCTGTAGAAAGAAGGCTGCACAGGTGAGTAGAGGAGGGATGGGAAGCATAGGAGAACAAGCACTGTCTCTAGTCCCCAGCAGAGAGCCTGCCTGTTTTGCTGTCTTGTTTATAGACTTTCAGAGAAGCAGTTGTAGTTGTAAAACACCAACAGATGTGGGATACCCCACTCATGGTATGGCTGGCTTATGACTTATCTTATCTGTGTAGGGTTACTGCTCAGAGATTGAGGGGGGATTGTTTGGTAACATGCTTTACTCTGTGTGCTTCCAGTCCTTCCTTCAGATTGAGGAGACAAGCCTGGGTGCCTGTAACTTCCCCCCTCTGTTGTTAAGCATGCTGTGTCAGAAACATAATGAAATCATTTATGTTTTTTTATAATGTCATAATTTATTGGATAACAATAAATTCCTAAGATTCAGCAGTGGGTTTTCAATTGTTTTTGTTTTTTATTTTGGTGGTATGGTTTATCTTTGTAGCCATGGCTTTCCTGGATCCTCTCTGTAGACCAGGCTGGCCTTGAACTCAGAGATCCTCCAGCCTTTGAAACCTCAGATTGAAAGCATTAGCCACCACCATTTGGCTTAAGACACAGAAGTTTTAATGGAAGCAACTGGTTATGCAGTACTGTTTTCATTGGTAACCTGGCCAAGGCAAACACAGAATCTTTTTATTCCAACCTTAATCACTATTATTTACTCTTACATCACTAATTTAAAAATATAGCAGATACATCTATCTCTATATACATACATACAATTAATATGTATAGGTGTCACAGAAATGGCTGTGAAGGGTTAAGAGGCCACAGCAGAATTCTAAAAATGTCAGAATTCAGTATATGGCTGTCTTGGTAGCTGGGGTAAAGATAGCTGTTTTCTTAAGCTGTGCACTAAGACAGCTCTTAATGAAAATTCATAATTCCTGGCCTGGGTAGCATCTTTTTGCATTTATATATCAAACCCCTGTATGAACTAGCATTCATACAGTAAAGCTAAGGAGGAGCCACCTTCTTGACAATCCACAGATAAAGATGCCAAGTAGATCAGGATTGTATTCATGAGACTCACACACCTTAGAATATAGGCTGTGTGGAATTCCCCACAGCCACTAGAGAAAGAAAGCAAATGAGCACATGTAAAATTACAGGCAGAAGCAATAAGATATTCTGGAGTAGGTATTTCTCACAAGTTTTGCAAATATGAGTTTCCCTCTATCAGAAATTATTTTCTGGTAGGTTGACGCCTTGAATATTAATTTCTAGTTCCTGTAATAATGGCCTCCATCAGATTAAGAGGTGTGGCCTTGTTGGAGGAGATATAGCACTGGGGACAGGCTTGGAGGTTTCACTGTTCCCCACTATTCCCAGTTAGCTTGCTGTCTGCTTCATGATTGTGTCTCAAGATACAAGCTTTCAGCTGCAGCGCCATGTTTGCCTGCCTGCTGCCATGTTCTCCACCATGATGGTCATGGACTCACTCTTTGAAATTGTAAGCTCTCAATAAAGTTTTCCTTCTATTGGTTGCCTTTGTTGTGGGGTCACAACAATAGGAAAGTAAGACATGGGACTACACTCACCTCAAAGACAGGGGATATGCATACATGGGTACATCCAAGGCTACAGCACTTCTGTTTCTTGGGGCATGATTCATCTCCTGAGCACCGTTTAATATAAGTCCCAGTACATTTTGTGGGTATCTTGGGACAGGTTCCAGGTTTTTGTAATCCTGAAATATACAATGGTGTTTACAGTGACCAAAGCAGTCAGAAAGACAAGGTTGATATTTGATGCTAGAGTTTTGAAAGACTGGTCACCTGCAGGAAACTAGATTAACCCATATTCTCCTTTGCACCTGGAGCTCTTCCCTCTGCTTCAGCAGCCCCAGTCCTTCTCTTAGGTATGAGTGCTACCTGGCCATGGGAGACTGTTCTCCTTCTCCACAGACTATAGGGTCTCAGAGAAAGAGCCATCCATCATCACAGCCCCCTTCTATACATCTGAGAAGATATTATTAACCCCTTAATGACAGCCAGACCTCTCTCATCTCACAATACCCCAGGTTCATCTCTGAGCAATGGCTCCAGTAACCCCCACTTCTAGGAACATCTCCAAAGTTGATGACCAGCCTGGTTCTCTCCCCCAGCTGCAGTGGCATGTCTGTCTTTCTGTCTGTCTGTCTCTCTCTTAAGAAAGATAAGAAATGCAGAGTGATCACTCTTATAGGCCAAAGGAAACAAGTTTAATCCAAGCACTGGACATATGGCTTTCCCCTGTGGCATCTGAGCCCCAGGCCCTAGTGGATTGTGAATCTTCTCTGCTTTCAGCTTTGTTCCCCTTAATACACTTACTTCCTGGAGAAAATCTCACAGCAGTCACTGAGTCTTTCCCTATGGCAATCAAAGCCACCAGAACCAAGACTGTGGCTGTCTTCATGTTGGCTCTGGCTGGGCTGAATGCAGCAATCAATTTATAGCCTCCATGTTTCAAGAAGTCTGGGTGTGATAGGAAACAGCCAAAGGGAAAGTCTATGAATAAACAATAGTTGTCTAGTAAGTGTCTGCTAATAACCTGGCTCATTTTCTATTTCATAATTGGCTTCTTGTTAATCGTTGTTTGCTACATGAAAATGAAAACCAGACAAAAGTCAAGGACACAGATTTGCATTATGTATCTCCTTACAGCACAGCTTGTCCCTTCTATAATTCATGAGCAAAGGAAATAGTTGTTTCTGTGTACTTCAGCATGTCAAAGTGAGAACTGAGGCAGAAAACAACATTGCACAGGGTTTGGGCCCATCCAGGGCTTCCTGGAAATCCAGTTCTGTAAGCATGTGGCTTAACTCTGTGATATATGGTGGTTGTGTCATTTCTAGGTCTATGAATAAGATACCTTAATAGGAGTAGAATCTGGGCAACTCTTTCCTGCAGGTGTATTCAATGAAGCCTCTTCCAAAAGAGATGGATACTCAAAGATTTCAAACTGTCTAGAGCCAGTTGAGGGTAAGGATGCATGTTGTAGAATAAATTTTCATACACTTTGAAGATATTTCTTTGCCAAAGCACTGATTGTTTTAATAAAGAGCTGAATGGCCAATAGCTAGACAGGATTTTCAGGCATTGAGGATGCTGGAGAGAAGAAGGGCAAAGTCTTGAAGAGATGCCAGGGCATCAGAGCAAGCAGCATGGTCTTTACAAAGTAAAGGGAATTGAGCCAAGTAAAAGAACACAGATGAAAAGATATGGTCTAATTTAAGTTATAAGAACTAGGTAGAAAGAAGCCTGAGCTATCAGTTAAGCTTTCAAAATTAATAACAACTCTGTGTGTAGTTATTTGGGAGCTGACTAGGCAGGACAGAAACATCTAACTACAAATGGTGCCCAGCATGGGACCACATACTGAGGAAGCTTTAACAAAACAGTTCAAAACACACACCCACACCCACACCCACACCCCCCCACACACAAAACAAACATGGCTTCCTGTCCTGTGTCTGTCATGTCATCCACCACACAGAGACATGTACTCCCAGCAGCTGCCTGTGTACTTGAGCTGCCAATGCACCACGAGCTAAGCCAAGTGCCGGTTTAAGTTTTTGCTCATACAAACGGAAAGGTTAGAGATAAGTAGCAAAGCAGGTTGAGATGGGGGAAAAAAACCTATCTAAATAGGCTGCAGTGTGTTTAACAATGTGTGTAGGAATTAAAAAATGGCTATAGGCATTCATAGAAAAAATAAATGTTTAAAAATAATAGTCTGTAGAGAGAAGTAAATAAAAAAAGAATAAGCCACATAGATATGGAAGATATACAGGGAATCTGAATCCTGTACGGTGTTGTGTGGACTTTTAATTTTTTGATTGTTGATGAATGAGTGATAGCTGCTGAGAGACATTGATTATGGAGGCTGCTAGATTAAAACAACCTATATGCTATAAAAGTGTCTTCACTTCAAAATGGAAATCTCAAGGTGTGCTGCTTTGGAGAAGAGGTTATGCTTTTGTTCCCACAGAAAAGGAAGGGCTGTGGAGTTTTTTCAGGGTTGAAGATCAGGTTTTGTAGGGCAAACCTGTTGGGGAATGTACTTCTGCGTATGTTCATCTTATTGATTGTTGAATAAAGTATTGTTTGGCCAATTAGGCAGCAAGTTAGACGGGACTAGGAGTCAAAGAGGATTCTGGGAAATGTAGTAGAAAAGTGGTGATCCAGGCAGGAAGTGACATAGCAAGGAGACTCATATTTAAGCAAGGACAAACAGGAAGTGGCCCCCTTTCCCCTCTGCTCTTCCTCCAGATTCGCAATGTGATCTATTGGCAAGGGAGGACGCCAATGGAAGGTGTCCGATAACATAAATCTTATAAAATATATAGATTTATGATAAATAAGACAGAGCTA